GCCTATGAGGGGAATATCAGCAGCGGCAGCGGCAGTACCTCGGAAGAGGAAGCGGATGAGGAGGATTCGGCAGGCGAGCCCGGCGGGGGCTCTGCAGCCGCAGGGAAGCTTAAAGCTACAGGTGCCGCTACGGCGGCGGCGGCGGCGGCGGCGGCGCAGCAGGGTGGGTCAGCGGCAGCGGTGCGTGGCAGAGGGGGCAGGCGAGGTCGACCCTCCCGGGTGTTCGTCACCTCAAGGGCGGGGAGGGGCCTGCGTGCGGTGGCAGGGTCGACAGGCAGCATCCCCATGGACGACACGGACGCTGCTGCGGCGCTGATGATGCTCAACACCAATAAAGACGCCGCCAACGATGGGGCCGCTTCCAAGCCGAATGCAGCGCCGGCGGCGGCAGCGACGCAGCAGCAACAGCAGCAGGGAGTAACCGCCGACATAACAGCGCAAGGTACGGGAGCAGATGCACAGGCTGCTGCTGCGCCGCTCCCGCCGCTGCCGCAGCCGGCGGCGACTGAAGCGGCAACCGTGAAGCCGCCGCCGCCGCCGCCACGCAGCGATGAGCGCGCAGCAGAAACAACACAACCTGCAGCAACGGCTGCGGCAACGGCAGCCGCAGCACCCACGCCGGCAGCGGCAGCAGCATCTGCACCTGCACCTGTAGCAGACGGCGGCACCTCCGTTGCCCATAAAGAAATCCCTGACGCCGCAGGCATTTCACCCTCCCCTGCGGCAGAGGTGGAGGCGGCAGCGCAGCCATCTCCAACTCAGCCGTCTCCGCAGCGGCGAGCTCCACGCTCGCCGCCGCCGCCGCCGGCACAGCTGCAGGGCCTCCAAGCTGCTACAGCGCCGAACGGCCTGGCGGCGGGAGCTGCTGCACCCCCTCCCGTGGCAAACCTTGCGCAGCAGAGCGCTGCGGCAGCTGCTACCACTGCCTCCGGCCGCGGTGTGAAGGCGATGCCCACGGCGGAGGTTGGTTGCTCCGCTACAGCAGCGGCAGCGGCAGTGGCGGCAACGCCTCGACGGCCCTCCGGGCCCTTTGCAGAGGGGCAGCCATTCAGCAAGAAGGAGGCGACCAAGGCGGGCTGCAGGGTGTTTGAGTACGCGGCTGAGAGAGGCGTGGATCCCTCGTTACTGGCCCAGTGGACGGCGGCGCTGGCACATGTGCTGGAGTGGTACGACACGGACACGGTGAGTGACTGACGCGGTGCGGCAGTTGAAGCTACTGCACGGAGTTAGGTCTTGGCTTTTGGGCAGTAACGAAACTAACTCTACCCCTCCTACCCCTCCCAATCCTAACACTTTTTCTATGTCACCGAAACCTTCAGGAGCTGCAAGGAACGCTCAAGGCCTGTCTCAACGGCTTGGCGTTGTCGGCCACACACGCCGTGCAGCTGGCCAATCTGGAGGACATGGTCCGCTCCATCACCAAGCTGCTGCAAAACGCCTCGAGGGAGGTTGCAGCCGCCGCAGCCGCCGCAGCCGCCCCCTCGGCGCCTGATGACGCGGCGAAAGCAGCGACGACGGCAGGACAATTCACCAGCTGAGCGAGCTGCGGCCCCCCCACCCTTTTGCCGCTGGTAACACAGCCCCAACGTGGCAGGTTTCTGGGTTACAAATGGCCCACTCAACCGCGGCACCCTTGATGCTGCCCTTGCGCGCCAACCCACATCCCTACACAATGCTCCCATGTTTGGCCGTTTTCACCAAAGCACTCGATCAAACCCCAGGTGGTACAATACCCGCAAGAGCCCGGCTCGGCTCGGCTCGGCCAGGGCTGAGGTGGGAAATTGGAATCGCTAACCTGCCTCTTCACCACACCAGCGGATAAAACCCAGGCACCGTAGGGATATACCTACACTACCACGCAGTTTTATCCTAAAGAAAGGCGTAGGGGGTGGCAGTTGGGAACAGGGATCCGCTGTATAGCCCCAGTATATGCCAATCTGCAGTCCTTTCCTTACGGCTTGCTGTCCCCGTCTTTCCGGTCACCATTGAGAAGGGAAAAGCACAGGTGAAGAGAGTGGTCTCCACAGCTGGGGTCAGAACTGAACTGGGATGAGGAAAGATCGTCAAAGTTTGAGGCACGCAGAGAGCCGGGGGGTTTTCAGGGTAGGGGTTGAGCACCTGGAGGGAGGGAGGCGAGGAGGGCAGGTGGGTGAGTGGACGTCAGATGCCCTCGCGAAGGAATCCCTAGGGTAGGGTGGCGTAGATATGGCTTACAGCCATAGGGAGCCCAGTCGGTTCCAACTCCAAAATTCAAGTTTTCATTCCAATGCACGTGGGTGGGTGGCAGCGTGCAGCTCAACGGGTGAGGATTGGGTAGGTAGGTGAGATGAACGACCTCCAAGCTGCAGGAAAAGCCGTGAATATGCCTATGCCTGCGCAGATGTGCTTTTGCGCGTGTGGATGGGCTGCATGGCAATAATGGTCGTGTGCGCCGCATACCTTAGGGTTTTACCTAAACCCCTAAAACCCTAGTTGCGAACATCGGTCCTATGGGACGTGGGGTGAGGGACATCATTAAACCAGCATTTTCTACACAAACAATAGACAAAGGACGACCCGTGCAGATGTACCCAGGAGATGAAAGCATAGTGATGATGCATGCATAATAGGTGGTGATGAATGCATAGTAGATCAGATAAGGCCGCCACTCTTCCTTCCTCCCGCACGGATGCATGCACATACGTGGCACATACACCACGTACACAGACACACCCAAGAGCTCTAGCGGTATGACAACATGGATTGAGCGTTTGTATCTTGCACGTTTGTTGTGAGGAGGCAGCTGCTGCACGTAACCGTAAACGAGGCCATACAGGACTAAAGGGGTGACGAGACACGTTGAGCTGCAACTTTCCAGCACCGAGGATGCTGCAATGCTTGCAGTCTCAGGCAATTTGGAGAGAACCGCTGGTCCGAGATGAACGTCATTAGACTGTAGCTGAATTTTCTTTCTCAGGGCGTTAAATGTGCTGATCAACGTTGCTAGCACCGCAGTTGCGCGTACGTTGTTAGCTAATAATGCCTATAGGCATAAGTCGTGCTGCGTTGACCTTGGTCTAACGCAGGTGTCAAGAGCTTTGGCACGGCAGTGACCGTTGCAGCATCGTTGCATGTAAAGGCGCGGTAGTCTCCGCGCCGACTACTACTGGAACAACCCTTGTGGCTTTGCTGCTATCGTCATCGTCGTGTATGAAGTGAGGACTGTTAGGGCACGCACATCTCACATTGATTAAGCGCATTGGTCTCACCTGCCATTATCCTATTCGCTTGGTTTTAGTATTCATGCACATGAGAAAGGTTGCGGCGAAGTGATGGATTAGCTAAGCAAGGTATGCTATCAAAACAGGTCGTTCTGCATTTTAATTGCAGACGTAGGTTTAAATCGATATCAGTGTTAACCGATATCAGTGCCGTTTCAGTGTTAACTGCCGCTGTCCCCCAAAACGTGTTTCGCCTGGCGGTTGTTAGGCGAAGTGGCCTTACAAAGCACTAACCGGTTTGCGGCCGTTGACTTGTAGCATTCCAAGCTGCTGCCCCCACACAAGGGGGGTTCGGAGGCGCATGAGGCTGTTATCAACGGCTATAACGGCGCACACTTCCATACGAGCTTGGGGTGATTATGCCGCACCTCCACAGTACAGTACACGCACATAACAGACAGCGCACTGGGGTTCCTAAGAGTTTTGTTATATGACCATTGTTATATGACCATTTTGTTGATGGACCGAGATTCGCACGCTGAATTTGTGGCGATTGCCGAACCCTCTGTCTCTGCGGATGTTCGGGTGACTGGATGAGGAGGGATCCTAGGAGGCAGGATCAACCGCCTTGGACTTGCAGTTCGTATGGCGTAGTACAGTGTGGTAATGGTGGATGGCGCTGTACGGTGATAAATCGTAGAAATGACAATATGTTAAATTGTCCCAGAAGCCTCCCGCTCTGTAACAACAACAACAATATGACCATCCATCTTTGGGCGGTTTCGGGACATTAGCCGTTCGAGAGCATGTTCAAGCGTGTTGGACGTGCTGGGCGTGCGTTTTGTGAGGGCGATAGTCAGAGATAGTCCAGCATTTTAACACGACCGCCCAGGGTCTTGGTCATGCGCTCTTTTCGGCATGCCCTTTACCCGACGGAGGATCCCATGTGTCTATTTACGTACGCCCCATGTTGGGGTGCCTTGGTTTGGGTTAATCGTTCTACGGCCACATGTTCAGCGCATTGCTACAGCGTTGGCGTACCTCCCCTTACTTGAAGATGTTGACGTCTAACATCCGTTAGTTCCGAATGCGTGATGTTGGAGTTTGCCTCTGTCGGGAAACCGTGTTCTTTCTTGTTGAAAAGAGGTTGGCTGTCCCGTCAGATAGCATCCGCCCAGGGCTGGAGTTTCGACATCAAGCGCGCCAACGCTATAGCACTGTAAAAAAACACTTTGGGGGATGTTCTCCTTGCGCGGGATGCTCTAGATGTGGTTATGCACACACCGGACCAGGCAGGGATAGCAATGCGCAGGGCGTTGCATCAAACAGTGGACCAATACCTCCAGCCGCAGAACCCACTAGCCCAATCCCTTTGTACCTTTCGTAAGTGAAGTGAGTGCTTTGGTGCTATTGTCGCTCTCTTAGCTGGTTCCCCAGCGCATTGGCGACAGGCGGCTATCTGTTCCTGCCTCTCAATGCAGAATCCAGAGCAGCTATGGCGCCGTCCATCGAGTCAATTACCGTTATCCTGGTGTCGAGGTTCAGGTTGGCGATGGGGTGGAGGACCCCCCATCAGACTTAAAGGTTTATCCTTTGAATTAGCGATCGACATGCAACTTTCGCTACTTTCTGTGGCTCGTCGAGTAAGGGACTGTCATTTCGGTACTCAAACTATTACTGCTGCTACCCACGCGAGCCACGGGACGTTTTCTTCCTTGGTGGTGCTGCGACACATTAGTTAATCCTTAGGGTTTGCACGCGGATGCTCTGTATGTACCTGTTTAGGCGCAGCCCTGGGAGACAGGATCTGAGAGACTGCTTGCGCTGGGATGGAGATGCTTGCTTCCTTTGTTGAAAACCAAAATATGAATGGAATGAGGTTGCGGAAGGTGCATATATGGCATTTACCTCTCCTTGCAGGCTCGGGGACTCCAGAGGAATTCGGAAGATAGAGCAGGCGTTGTTACAGCCCGAACCACGTAATACAATAGATCGATGAATTCTTTTGCCCCACGCTTCGGTGCACTTGGCCATATTGGAATATCCCACTGGACAACAACTGATGTGTGCATGGCCACGTACATACACCGCCTGGGGTTACACTGTAACGCATGGCATGCGGGCCGGTAAACAATACTTACTGTTACAGTCCCCTAAAAGTACTGCCTGGCCTAATTCACCGCCCTTGCTGTACTCCACGGCCACAACACATTGGAGAGCAAGCAAATAAGCTATCAAGCAGTTAAAGGGAGCGGCGCATTACATGTGTAATCACCGTCCCGTGAGGCTACCAGCTATTTTACTGCTCGGGACGAAGCCTAGCTAGGAGAGCCCCATCCCGAGTTATGATTATGAAAACCCAGGGCACCGATCATTGCCTTAAGCTAAATAGAGATATAGAGAATTCACCTGTTGCGACGAAACATTCCGGGAAGCCGTAATGTACCCTTTTGCCACCCGGCTTCCTCGTGCCCACTGCGACTTCTATGCAACAACGTACGACATGGAAGAATGAAGTAATGCGGGAAGCTCTACGGCGTGCACCACACGCTGGCAAGCTTGGTCCACAGAATGCTTACTGAAAATTCGTGCGCAGAGCTTCCCTGGCCAATAGATGATATTCATAGGTCAGCCACTACTGGTAACGCGCATTGCCCCCGGGAGATCCCGGGAACAAGACCTGTCAGGGTCGAATATCCTTCCGATGGTGGAAGGTATTGCGCCCCTAGTTGATAGACGGTGGTGACCTGGAATAAAGTTAACCTGCGAGCCGACCAGGAATGGAGTTGGGCCGCTGTCGACCCGGCAGATTCCGTTGGATGCTGGTGGTGGGTGGGGAACCTGGGCGATCCACTGAGAAGTTGACTAAGGTGACTGGATGAGGTTGCCCCGAAATACCGGGGAAGGCAGGGTTTCGCAGGGTAGCTGCCACAGGTGAAGATGTAACCCCCTGTTTCACACATCATACGATGTTGGCACCGTCTGATGAATGAGACTAAGACTGGTTGCGGAAGGTTGGAAAGATCCGCAACAGGGAACGCTTGGTGGCAGCAGAAGACAGCGTGCGGGTTGAGAGTGCCGCCCCGTGAAGTAGAGGATGCGATTGTTACAGTGGACCCCGAACGGGTCGAGTGCAGCGCCCCTAGGAACGCCTCTCGCACAACGCCATGGGCCTTGTGCAAACAGAACTCGGCCGGGGCGTACGCTTGACACAATTCCTCAGTTAGTACTCTTATACAAAAAAGATGAGGCTCAGACGTGAGCCGCCAAACCTCCTCATTGTACACCGGTAAACGGCAAACAACCTTGTTTGCATAGTTGACATACAAGAAAGGTTGGTTGTGAGACACGTGTTCCCACAGGTTATCCCGTGTCGCAAAAGCAGTTAAACGGGCCCAAAAATCAGATAAACACAGAGCATGTTGGAGGCCATGAAATGGGAACCAGTACGTCTGGCGCGGATGTTGGAACGTATGTGGGCTTACCGAAACTCAGTTACCCCCTTTTTCTTCCTAATCCTTCCTAATTCTTCCTATTTGCTAGAACTTTCTACATCATCTAATGATGCAGTAAAATTCCGTAAAGAACCTGTATCCTCTATAATTCTTATGCCTTTAATTTTATGCTTAAATTTTGTAATTTTTTTAAAAATACCTACTACGTAATCATAGTCTGGGCTGATGTGCGGTGTTTCCTGTTCTCCGTGGCTTTTAGGCGTATAGATATTGCCCTTGGGCCTTCGGCGCGTATGGGTAGTTTTACAGGTATGGGGTCACGCACCCCCAACCATGTAACACACACACACAAAAGATATGACACCGCAAGCAATGCGGTGAAGAGCTGACGTGGACAGGCCCATGTTGGCCTGAAGACCCTCCCTACACAACAAACGGCGACCGAGATTGGGTGAGCAGATGGCAGCGAGGCACACAACCTCCCACACACACCCATTCCTCTCTCACGCTGCGCTCTATGCATAGGAAAGGCAGGGAAGCCATCTAGCGCTAGCCTCCAAAGGGCTTCCGAATACCAACAAGGTTCCGTCGATGGAATACCAACAAGGTATTAGCCAAGTTCTCTGGCGATAATACGATATCAACAGCATCCATATGTAGTAGAGGATATTCTAAAAGCAAGTCCCAGGACGAGCGGCAGGAGACGCCAGGCGAAAAAGAAGAAGCCTACAGTAAAGCAGGAGCGGCCGGCGATAAGAATACCACTGAGACCTCTTTGACAGGCAAAGGCATTTTAAACTGGGCTGGAAAGCACATTCGGCATTTCATTTTGTGTGAGCCCATTTCCTTGCTGAGGCAGACGAGCCCATATATGCGGCATGCCACTTGAATGTATTTACGGTTATGTGTCTCGGCCATTGTCGGATGACAGGCGCGGAAAACCGAACCACGTATGTGCTCGCGTATAGATTGCTTGCGAATTGCGACTTGCGACTTTGCGAGTTATTAGCCGTACGCAGGAATGCACTTCATCTGGCATCCACAATAAGTATTGCAACCAGCCATAAATATGTCGGGCTTTCGGTGTTTGAACTCTGTCGTTCATGAGGATCCGGAGCCAGATATGTGCGAATCGGAACCGAATTTTCATGCGAATGTACTCCATTCTTATGCGACAATTTTTCTTGTATCAGCATATCATTCTATTTACGACAAGGTCATTACGCTCAAATTTTGAGCGGCTCTGTAACGAGCTTCGATAGTAGCTACTGCCTTTGCTAGCATTTGTGAAGGTCTTGGCCACAGTGGAGCCACCATAACTTGTAAGTTTACTGCGTACATATTTTAGGAAATACTGGGGCGTTTGCAAAGGTAAGCGCTCCTTGTTACGTGCAATACGGAACGGGTCATGCCAGCCTTCACGGAATCATTACTTTACACGCAATTTAGAGCTAAAAATATTCAATGTCAAGACTGCCACGATGTCTTAATGATTGCCTGTCTTTTCTAGGCGGGTAAAAGACTACCTCGATTTCTGCTGTTTTTGTTCGCCGCCTTCGACCTACAATGACCAACTACATCTTGCGTCACCCTTTTCCTCACCGCAGCCCGGCTTCTTAACGTGAGAACCTGCACATTTTCGTTGAAACAAGCATTCATCATCCAGCAGGGAAGTAAAGAGTGAAGCAACGCCATGTCGTCAGCGTCCTACACCGCCACCGCAGCGTGGTCCACGCCCATTCCAGGCGCATGCGAACGCACCCCGTTCGATGCGGCCGACGACTTGATCGACCCCATGGGACTCAGTCCCGAGTCCACCGTCAGCAGCCTCTTTGCCGCCATCAGCGTGCTGGGCACATCGCCCAACACGCCGTGTCATCCACTCTTCCCTTGCGCAACTGAGGTAGGAGAGGCTACGACTGGAAGTGACGTGAATCACCACCTGACTTCTGTGCGCGCAGCGCGCAGCTTCATGGTAGCCTTTTGAATTTTCGTAGCAGCTTCCGCAGCTTTTTTCATAAGCTGTACATCGTGCTTAATTCACCTCGCACACCGCCGCGCGCCTTTTCAGCCCCCCACGCAAGAAATGTTTCAATCGGCGAGCTGACGGCGCCCAAGTACACATACCGAGCTACGTGCACGGCACATGCAAACGCTGAGCGAATTTGCAGAGCTATGGGGGATCCAGCCATCGCGAAAACGCCTGTTGAAAATAACCCAACCTTGGTGTGAGCTCCTTCGCTCGGTCAATCCTCCTTTGCAACCCCCTCCACCTCCACCTCCTGTCCTTGCCCCTGAAGGCCAAACAGCAGCAGTTACCCATCAGCGCCGCCGTGCCGTCTGCCACGGCCGGAACTACGACAACAACCCACGGCGCTGCGCCCTCAAGTTTCACCGCGTCCACGGAACCCTCCCTCCTGCACATGTCCCTCGCTACGCTGCTGGGATGCTGCGAGATGCTTGGCCATCACATGGAGGACCGCTCCGAAATCGCCAGGTAGCGCCGTAGTCCCGTAGGTGCCCCTGGCTTGGCGCGTGCCTTGCCAAAGCACTTGACGGTGGTGCTGCTTCCTTCGGGCAATTGCATCGAACAGTATAAGCCGAGAGGACGTTGCGCGCAAATCGATTGTTAACAATCCTGGCTTGAATTCGATGCGATGTAAACATTACGCTTAAAAACCCCGAAATCGACCTGGAATCAGTCACTTACACTCAAAGCGACTTGGGTTATTGGAGACACTGGCTCCTTCTGGCCCTTGCCCAATAACCCCTTGACGCTAAACCCTGCTTCAAAGCCGCTTCACTCCCGCATTTCACATGACGCGACTCGAACCGTAGCCCCATAATCCTGGCTCCCAAGTCACAATCGGCTTAAACACCACACCCGTCCCAACCCTTAGCCCCCTTCCTCTTCCTCATTCGACTTTTCCCTCCCCGTCCTACAACATCCTCAACCATTTACTCCTTTCCTCTTCTCTCATCGGCTCTCTTCGGTTCGCCTCGCGCCGCCGCCTTCTGCTTACCCCCCTATCTGTTGTTCTCTCCTCTCCCGGGGCTGTGCAGGCAGCAGGACATCGAGCTGCTGCAGGAGATCCAAGGGGCCTCAGCGGTCGAGCTCCGAGACCACAGTCAGCGGCCGTTGTTCGTTGTGGCGCCGTTGGACGTCCTTGTCACACGGGAAGCCACCACAGGTGCGCCCCGACGGTTCCTTGCGGCGTTTAGAATCCACAACTTGCATTGGCCGTGCAGGTAGGGGGGGTCCTTAATCGGCATATGCGGTTTGTTTGGCGAGTGGGAGTGTGGTGCTTGTTCGCGGGGACGGATTTCTGATTTATCTTAAGTTTCGCTGCAGTTTTCTTACCGCAGCATCTGCCGCTGCTGGCGACTGCTATATACAGCCCTTGCATCAGCCTTTACTACGGCTCTGCGCCATTGCGGCTGGTGTTGCTGGCGCTGCCTAGATGCCGCACCATGGACGTTCAACAATCAGTCAAGATTTCAAAGAGCAAACATACATGCTAGATGACTTAGCTCCCTCGCTGCGACGACGCTGCACCCTCTTTTTTGCACCATCAGGTCGCAACCAGTTTCACATCATTGAGATTAATGGTACGGGCATCAGCGGTCTGACCAATTTGACGGAGGCGGCAGTTGAGGACGTGCTGAGGTCGTTCAGGTTAGTTAGTGGTTGGTAGCTGGTGGTTAGGCTGCTAGCGTGATTTAAAACAAGTGGGCTAAGGAACATTTTAATCTGGGGCTGGATCTGGACGGTATAGTAAGGCATATACGCATTATCTATACGACCTAGGGATGAGGGAGCTGAACTAATGTGTTACATGTCAGCTGAGCGACCCTAAATTCTCCGTTTTCTCCTCCGATCCCCATTCCGCCTTCCACACGAATCTCCTAACCTTCGTCGACCTCGTTTACTACTCTCTTATCAACCCCCTATGGCCGCCCTGCTAACCCTTGCTGATTGCTATCCGCGCTTCCCTCGTGTTGCTGCCTTCCCCCATAACAGCGATTTGGCTGCGCACATGACGCAGCCGGATGTCCTTGTGTTGGTCGCCAGCTCCGGACAGGAGACGTACCCACCGGTGAGCCGTACCTTGCATGAGAAGATGCTGTACGTGGAGGCCCTCAAGAGGGGCTTCGAGGCAACCGGTGAGCAATCGCCACATTGGGTTTGTTCGTCTCGTCCTTTCCGTCCGTTTCGGTGTGTTGATTTCAATATATCTTCATTTGCAAATGGCCACGACTGGGTAACGGCTCTTCCGGATTTCTTGAGGGCTAATATTAGCTCGCGGGCGTAGGGTCTCTTCAGTACGGTATTGCTGGGTACTGGGGATGGTCGGATTGGCCACCCCGACCCTCGCTCAGTCAAGACGCTGTGCATTGACCTGTGCTTACATGTGTTCTAAGCTGAGCTACGCGCGCCGTATGTTACTCGAAGCCGTACGTTGACAACTGTCGTTGTTAGTTACGGGCAAACTCCTTTCCCAGTCCCAATTGCAATCCTGCCCCTCAATCCTGGCCATCCCCCGCCCGCCCGACCCCACCACCACCACCACCACCACACCACCATGGCATCGTTGCAATTTTCGGTTCGGACTTCGCTCCTTGCAGGCCGCCGCATTAACATCACCAATATGACACGCCTCGAGAAGCGCCCCGAGAGTATGCCCGCCAGCGGCCCCACTGTGGTGCTGGGCTACATGAAGCAGTTCCGAGCCAACTTCATGATGGATGGACCCACGGGTCGGCTCATGCTCTTCGGGCGCCAGGTACGTTGCCTCTTGCTTTGGAAAAGTGATGTAGGTCTGACACTGGCAAGTACGTAACGCCATGCAAGGAAAGAATCAACACCTTTTTAGTTTAATACTTTAGGATAGCCTGGGAGGGAGTAGTTCCACATTTGCGTCCACGTCAGGGGGGGGGATTTGGTATCTTGTTTGGCTAGGTGGCGGCGTTAGGTCCCAGCTTGTCAGGGTGCATGGGGATTTCAGGGTACACAGGGGGTTTACAAGGGGGGCGTTACCTCGGCTCGGCACACCTGTGCCGACGGTCGGTACGTCTGTGTTAGGGGGAAGCATCGCCAATACGTCTGCCTCTGTGGCTTGGGCAGTATACAAGGTGGTAAGATATACGAGGGGTATCGATAAGATCGAGTCAAGTCCCCACAACCAAAAGTCCTGGCGGTGTTCGATATAACCCCCCCGACACACGCAGGTTCACGCCGCTATCAACGACCGCTTCGTGCTCAACACTTGCTATCAGTTCGATCACCGACTGGACCTCAATGCCTTCCGGGGTTACAATGCCGGATATGCCGCCGGAGCGGATAAGGTGCGGGTGCGAGTTTGATGTTTTGATGTTTGTCATCGCGGTACGGCATGCGTACGACATCACGAATGACCACGGTTGCTGGTTTCGTTGGGGTTGTTACTTAGGGCGGTTTGCTTTGTCATTAAAATATTTTCATGCAGAGCGTTGCGTACGAGTTGTACAACCAGTTCTTCGGCTCCGAGGAGCTCGGCGCTCACTTCCAATGCATGGCCCCCGCCATTAACTTCAGGTGAGTTGTTGGGGTTTGACGCATTCCTGGTGTTCCTTAATGCTGTAGGTGCTAACGGCTTCGGTGTTTAGGGTTGAGAGTTTTAGCATTGTGCGTGTAAGTACGGAGATAAATAAAAACGGTTACGTTGAGCACATTGTCGCTATGATGAGCTGCGGCGGACCACGCGAATGGCCAACTGTTTGCATCTGTACGGCCCCCCGCCATCTACATCCAAATCACAAATCGGGTCCCCGCTGCAGACACCCATTCACCCGCTACCTGTGTAGCAACTAACAATTGTAAAAACCATTCTCCACAGGCGGGCTCGAACTCGGACGGAGCTCATCTCTAGCATCCAGACCTGGCTGCAGTGCAACGCCACGCCGGCGGTGATAAAACCCCAGGTACGGAACCCGTCCGTACGGCGACGACCCTACCGTACGATGCGATTTGGAAACCCCAAAATTAACGCTGTATGTCGCCAAAAATCCTCTATCCACTAGCTGCCACCACAGCTGTGGTAACTATGGGTGCATCGACTGTTTTCCTGCAAAGCAGCAAAGCAGCAGCACAGCGGCGCAGCAGCTTACATGTTCTACCGGGCCGGATTGCGTGCTGTAAATATGGCTGTGTGGATGGGGAAGAGGCCCTATGCAGGCAGGCAGACGCACCCACTGGTAATAACTGGCAGCTAACAGCCCGGCTACCCCCCCCACAGGCTCCTCCCATTCCCACCCCCAAAGCCGCTCCCCGGCCCACATGCTCCGCGCTCCACCGCTGTCCGTAGGGAACAGGCTGTGGACATGGCATCGAGTTCTTTTTCGGGAACTCCTCCTGGGGAGAGACAGCAGCCAAGGTACGGCTTACTACGGCGTTGTACGGTTAGCTAGGATTACTTGTTTCCTGCCATGCGTGTAATAAGGCTACGGGGCCCAGGGCTTTCCAACGGATATTTTCGTTAAGAAAATCACAGATTCGTTTTCGTGCAGTCATCGATTCAGCTCCCTCCCCACACACGCAGGTGGACCGGGCACTTCATTCCGTCGCCTCCAACTACAACCTCCAATGCGGCGGACTGCCATACACCGTGTGCGAGTACCTAGATACAGCTACCATCGATGCCCCTGCGGGCAGCGCCGGTGCAGCCGCTGCGGGCGGCGGCCGTGGTGGTTGCGGCGGCGGCGGCGGCGGCGGTGGCGGTGTCGGCGGGCCTCATCCCAACAAGGTCGGTCACAAGTTCGAGCTGCGTATTGTTGTGTACCGCGCGGGTTCGCAGCTGCGGGCCTTCCCATCCATCGCCAAGGTATGTCGGGGTTGAGGCTGCGTAGGGCTGGTCCTAGGGCTGCGGGTCGGGAATTGGGGCCATTGAGTCGCTGAAGATATGAAATGCTTCTTGGCGGAACGGGGTTTACGGCATAACATGCTATTGGCCCACGCTGCGGGTTTAAAACTGGGGCCCCTCTCCCGGAGGTGCCAAAGAAGCCGAAGAGCGGTGCTCCACCTCCGCCCTCCACCTCCGCCCTCCACCTCCGCCCTCCACTCTGCGCAGGTTGCTCGAGAGGCCTTCGACCCTCGTAACCCCGACAACAAGAAGTCGCTGATCAACAACATCACCACCAGCGCCAAGGAGACGGCGCAGGTACGAGAAGGCGATGGTGTTGGCAGGATGCGCTATCTCCATGGTTCTCTATCTCCCCTGTGTGTATGTATGTATGTGTGTATAACCCTCGGTGTTTCTAGACCAATGTGGAGCAAACCGTGTAAGGTGGGATTGTCCTCGCCTGGATAAGGCTTAAAAACCCTCCAAACGTTTGAACCTCCTTGTCAACTTCCCCAACCTCCCTGGAGGGTTACATGCTGGGTTACATGGTCGTTGAAGAGGCCTCGGCAGATGCTGTGCGTCAACCATCATTTGTACGGCCTTGGGCCGTACAAATTAACAACCACGGCTTTCACTAATCCTACTTCCAATCTACATTCCATTCTACTCGACCTGCAAATGCAGTCCGGCCAGGAGTTCCTACTGCCGCTGTGCAACTCCGATACGCTGGCTGTGCTGGGCATCAGCCGAAGCGAGCTGGCGGAGCTGTGCGTCGCCTCCACGCACTTCATCCGCTATCTGGTGGACCAGGTGCAAGACAATCCGGCGCTGTTCGGACTGCCGGCTGGCGGAGAATGAGGGGAGAGACCCTGATCGTTATGCAAGGAACCATTTAAGATGGACAAATGAACTTAGGCTTGGCCCTAACGGCGGCGAATACGAAATCCGCCTCCCCAGGACACTATTCGGGGGTTGGGAGGGACGGGGGGTTACAACCTGCGTGCTGAGCGGGGGAGGGACTGGGAACAATCGTACAGCTCCTGTGTGTTTTCCTCTCCCTCCTCTCCCTCCTCGCTCTCCCTGCTGCGCTTTGGTGCACTTTGATTCCAACGATGGAGCTCTACACCACGTGGAATGGGAATTATGGGTCAGACGGTATGTCACCATTTGCTAATGCGTTGTACAGTTTTAAGCAGCAGTCCTCGTACATTTTCTGAAAAAGCACGCATGTCCTCCGTGCACTTTGTCAATGATCGCAGTTTACTGATTATGTGTCTGACATTTATTGTCCTGTTATGAACGCGGGTGCTGAGGGCCATACAGCAGGGGGGCAAACCGCCCTTCAGTTCCCCACCACCCAAACACAAAACGCCAGGCTGCGACCTGCGACGTACTCTTATCCTTATTACTGGTACTCCCCTCGTGTTTATGCACGCTTATGAATGGTCAGACATTTGTCTAGCGTTGCTTGCAGCGTGACTGCCACGACTTCCACATTCACGTTTTGCACTTCAGTCGGATTGGCTTATCACGCCGACATCTGCTATGGTTTCTGGGTCAGTGATGTTGTGTGCCCGGGCTGTTCCTGTTTTGATGTAATGTTGGTTGCTCGGAAAAGCTTGAGGCGCGATGACGGACACACTTTCCGTGCGCTGCTTAGCCGTGTTGTGGTTCGTGAGAGCCGTGCGGGGTCCGCCCTCCAAGAAACTCGTGCTCTGTCTGTGGCTGCGATCTGCCGGGCGCGCGATCGTGGTTGTCGTCAACAGTAACTATAAAAGGCATTATTTTGACGGGAAGCAGAAAAGACGAAGAAACCCTAAGCATGTGTGCATGCATGTATGTAAGTAGGAAAAAAAGCGCATCGACGGTGTCCTACACCCCCGCAACGAAATGTGATGTAGCACGGGCGTTGCGGCCGTTGCTACTGTTATGATGCTGTGGGCGCGAGGCACATTTCGTCAGCTGATGTGCCGCCTGGATGTGTTGTGCCGCAGACGTGGCCTGTTCGTTCGGTATCGTGTGGTAGGAAGCGACGGTGCCTGGGGATGCCGAGGATCTATCTGAAGGAGGCTACTTCGAATTTTGCCTACCTGCGTTGGACATTTGCTGTCAGAAGCAACTGTACGCCTGGGCAGCACGTACATACGGTTGAGTGGTACGGTAAACAATTTAATGTCGTTGACGTTTCTTGTCCCTCGTGCCTGCGTGTGGAACCGAATGCCTGCTCAATGGCCCCTGCCTGCCTGCGCGGGTGCTTTTACTTCTTTGCCTGGGTTCATGATTGATCACTCGCCAGCAAAGGTTGGCAGCGCTGGATGAGAAGGACTGTTGACAGTTAGCCAGCAGGTCCTCCTACTTCCGTTTTTTTGGTAGCAATACATACAGTCGTGCTAACAGTCGTACATACACTCGTATCTTGCGCGGTGAGCCTCACGCACATCGTTGCGTCGCTCCGTCCTACTGCAGCTCGCGTTGTGTGTATGTGTCACACATGCTCACAACAATGGCACGATAAAACCTTCTGGTTGCGTTGCATTGGGCAACTTTACCGCATAGTACATGTACCAATGTGTCAAACCGGATCGTGGTGACGCCTGTGCGTGGTGATGTAAAGATCGGCGGGCAGTCAAGGCCTATGCTCAATGGTGGCCTCGAGAGAGAGATGGAGAACCGATTGAAATCTAAACCGGAAGATTCGAAAATATGCGTCTGATTTGCAACATACCACACAAATCGTACTAATAATACATTACATAAAACCCTAAAACCCTAAATGTAATAATGCGAGCTTGCGTTAAGTAAGCTGGGTTAGTTGGGCGTAAGGCCCAATGCGTAACTGTTAGACTAACTGTTTCGCAACGGCCCGTGTCCTCAGGGCCGTCATTTATTGCGCGCATTAAGCTGGTTAGCTTATCTTGTTTTTGTTGTTCAGCGCGCGCTGATCAACAAAACAGGTCCCGCGCCTTCGGCGCGCTTTCTGTTACTATACCGCTGTGCCTTCGGCTCGTCAGCGAGACCCATCGGGTAGAGTGCAGTGGAGAATATAAAGCACTAGCACCATAGAGTTAGCCCACCTTATTGAAGCACCTTTAGTAGTGCTAGTGGCGGCGCATGTCCCGGTATCGCTAGGCATGACTCCGCTGGTGGAGGCAACTCACAGCTATCCTACATAGCTAACTGGAATGTCACAGACTGGCATTTCCTCGAGGGCTTCTGCGACGCAGTTTATGCCCCCTGCTTTCTCCGGAGCGGGTCAACAACTCCCGCCCACCCCGGACCCAACAAGCTTGCCCCTGCAGCTACAACACTAAATGTCCGCTTGACGACGTATTTCATCAAGCTCATCGCCGAGGTTGGGCGCGACGCGAAG